CTTCAACTGAGAGCTGAGAATAGTCTCTAGCTTATCATACAATTCTGATGGAGAAATATCCTCATATAGATGCGATTCCTTAAGTTTACCTTGATAAAACCGGTAGTAAGGGTCCCCCTTGTAGTTAGGTGACAGATGAGTGTTTAGTTTCTTCATAGATAGTTTGTACTGCTTAGCAATCAATTCTCTATTTTTCGGGTTACCAACATTGCTGATGTAAACCATTTTCTTGGTGCGTCCAAGCACCTTAACACGGAAACTACTACCCCACTTGGTACATGTAACCCCAAGTCGCTTAAGTCCTTCTAATTCATATCCAAACATCGTCGTTGTATATCCGCTCTACTATATTTTATAAGATTTTATCTCTCAGGATGGGTCTTTTATATTTATAAAAAATAAAAAATATTAATATATAATTTTACACTTCTTTGTCATTTTCACTCTCTACTTCGTTCGAAACCTCAATTCTCGTGGGAAGTTTCGATTTTAGTTTCTTGTTTTGGTTTCTGATTTTTCTGCGTTGCGCTAGCTCCTCCTTGTGCAACTCATTATACTCCTTTTGATTAGTTAGACGCTGCTCTCTATTCTTTAGATAGTAACGCTTCTGAGCTGCTTTAAAAGCCTCCTTGTTAAGCTCATAATTTTCGCGAACGTAAACCATAATTAATTATTTTGTATTATATGATATTGTGTTATATACTAATGGAAATTAATTATCAGAAATGAAGATAATTAAATGCATTTTCGATTTTGAGCCAAAAAATTATAAATTATTCATATTGCCACATGTATGGAACGCACTTATTAAATAATTCCTTCCAATCTGCATTATTATCTAGTCGCCTTGAGAAGTCCACTAACAGCTCGATCAGTTCATGAAACGATCCATCCCTATCTGCTATCCTAAGAACTCTTAATGCTCTCACAGTACGTTGCATAGCTATAGTTCTCTTATGATGCCCGCAACCATAATTCGTCCTTAAACAGCTTTTACATCCATGCCAAAACACAGTCATCGTATGATATGTTATATATTTTATCATTTCGTCGCTTGAGATGGACTCACTTTTATATAATTGAAAATTTTAAGGTAAAATCCGCATTTAATATTTTACCTAATTCATTGCAAATTGCCTGCTACAGCTACTCCAGCTTGATGTCAGCAACACCGTTGACCGTCTGGAGTTGATCGCGTAGCTCTTGGTAGTGGCGCTGGGTGTTCAGGTACTGACGCTCGAGCTCTATCAGCTTGCTTGATATATCCACATTCTCCTTGGGCGCACGATCCATGTCACCGAACGCCTTCTCCCGCTTGACGAGCCATTCTCGCTTTAGACTCGTCAGCTGGGCTTCTTCCTTGGCCGCCTTGAGTTTTGCAGTCATCTTCCTCACCTTTTCTTCAGTTTTAGCACTCGCCTCCGCTATCTTCTCAGCCTCCTCTGCTTGAACCCCTTTATAGTCGCTCGCAAACTTCTTCGCTTTCTCTTCTGCGATGCGGGCGACGGGATGCGTGTCATCGATCATCTTCTTGAGCTCTGCTCCGCGAGTGTTGAGAGCATCCATCTCCTGCTGTAGGTTGGACGGGTTCATCTTGACTGCTGATTGACTTGGTAGAATGCAGAATGAGCACTCCCTACTCTTCTAGCATGAACACGAGATCTTAAGATCGCATTGGTTACGAAACCATTTATCTATAAAAGGTCGCTGCTATAAGGAAACTCCTAACTATCGGTTTTAGATCTTTCATGTCTTGGTAAAAATTTGAGAAAAACTGACTTCGTTTTATGAAGGTAGGTACCTTGGCGAAAAAACTGCCTTCGTTTCATGAAGGTAGGTACCTTGACAAATATTTGGATTTTGATTTGTGAAGGTGGGTACCTTGGAACTTTACCACGTTTTAGCGTTGCTTGTAGGAGATCTAAACCGGGTCTGAACAACTTTATATCACTTGAAATTCTAATGATGTAGAGCTTCAACAAGAAATCTCGCTAATGTCATATTTCGTGAAAAACTAACCTCATTTTATGATGTTATATACTACTTGAGCCACAGCAAGATGAGGTGTACTCTGGGATACATTCGCCAGAGACACTTTCCACCAGACTTTAGGCACTCATCGTAAGGGAAAGTCCGCGGCTGGAATGAGTGTTCTCTGAAATCCTGGGCGTGCACTCCCAGGATTCACACTTCCAGCCAGTTGGGCCCATCTGTGGTCAGGCGCTGGATTCACCCCGAGAAATCACTTCTCTCCCACAGTCGCCATCCATGTCACACGGGTACAGCCGCGCCGTATCCAAGTCATCCACCAATCAGCATCCAATACAAACTCCAAGTCCAAAGGGTGGCGGCACATCGTCGGCGATTTTCTGGGGACCGCCTCGTGTCAACCGCCCCTCCTGGTCCAGGTACATCAAAGAGGCAATAACTCCGAACCGGTGAATCATGGCCAGGCCACACAAACACAGAGGGCGATCCACCGTCGACTTCGATACGGCCGTCGCACTCTGTCGACTCCCAGGATTTCACTCACTTTGGCGACACCCTGTCTACCCAACGGTTGGTCAGGACCTATCTTCAAGGTTCTCTTCTCAAACGCAAAAACTCCAACGGGCAATGCGCGGTCACATCGCCATTTCACAGATCATCAACATGGCGGAGAGCGTGCCTTCGGACGGCAAGCAAGCGACGGTGCCAGCTCAAGGCACGGCGCCCCCCTGCAGCGCGCCACCTCCGACGCAGCAACGCACCGGCGACGCTCCTGCGAACACCGCTCCAGCGGGCGGCGGCGGCGACCAGGCGGGCAACTCAGCGTCCAGCAACACTTCGGCGGGCGTCACCAGGACGGGGGAAACTAAGCGCGTCTCCTTCTCCGGCGACGCGGGCAAAACCTCTGACGCGAATATGCGCGAGGCCGATGGCACTGCCTCGGCTGACGCTGCAGCCCAGGAAACTGGTGACGCGAACTCAGAGTCTAAAGCTCCAGACGCAGGCGACACGGCTGCGGACGTGAACCTGGAGGATGCCCCTGAGTTCAAGTTACCACGACACGCGACGCTGGAGGACGTCAGGGGGCTCGTCTTCGCGGGTATGCTTCGGCAGCAGGAGGTGGATGTCCCCGACTTCGTACTCCCTGTGCACCCACCGCATTGGACACTGCCAACCCCGCCGGATCTCAAGACCAACGCATATCTCGTGGGAGTCCCAGGGATCGTGAACGATATTCGCGCGGGTGCATTCGCCATGGAAGGCTACGGCGGCGCGTCTACGCTGATCGGCTTCGAGGAGCTCTCCGACGAGAATCTTCAGGGGTTGAAGGAAGTCTGCGGTGCCAACGCTGGGATCGACGTCCTGTGTCCACGTCGTTCGCCTCTTTCCGCATTCGAGTTGGACAACACCCTGAATTCCATCGGCATTCGACGCGAGATGGCCTCACTCCTGCGTCACTTCAACAGCACAAGGCTCGCTGAGCGCGTGTTCAAGATGACTGGTTACCTGCGTCGAGTCCTCGGGGCCTACCGAAACATGCGTTCTCTGGCTGACTCTCAGCAGGGTTTCACCGCCACTCAGGAAGTAGTCGACACGCGACGCAAGTATAAGGAACTGAAGCGCACCTGGAAATTCACGTGCGACTACTGGTTCTTGGAGGTCCAAGAGGCCCTGGGCAAGGTGGATGATGCTGAATCCAAGTACAAAGTCGCGCTGGGCGAGCAAAAGACGCGGTACCAAGACGAGATTGATTCTCTGGAGTCCGAGAAGGCACAACTCAAGGCGCGCCTTGCCGACTCTGAGGCACAAGTGCGAATCCTGAAATCGCGTCTTGAGTTAGCCACCGTGGACCCCTGGAAGTTCCCTGACTTCCTCCAGGAGCACACAGACTTCACGGGCAATTGGGAGCGTCTCCACGACCTCTTCAATCTCTGCATCAAGGACTCGAAGCCTCCTGAATCCTGGGACACTGTCATCAACGTCACGGCCATGGACAAGCGCAAGGCTGCGGCGGCCCCGTATCCAGAGAAGAGCACGCGTATGCCTCCGTCTTCAGGGTCTGGGTCGTCCGTCGTCCTGAAATTCTGGATCTCACGGGTCCTGGCAGCAAGTCTCGCAGCGGCGCGAAGGCCGGAGGCAAAACTTAGGATTCCAGAAAATCTCAGGGTTCCAAGAACGGTCAAGGCTCCAGAAAATCACGGGACTCTGAGGTGCCAAAAACGCAGTCGAACTCCGCAAGCCCCCAGGTTCACAAGGTCCAGCGTCGTCCCAAGGATCATCAGCCTGGCCGCGACTCTGTGCGTCGCGCCGGCGAGAAGACTGTGGTGTCCAAGGAGGCCGCACACACGATGCTCCCTGGGGGTGTCGTCTGGAAGGAAGTTCGGCCAGACGTGCGTCAGGCTATTCTTGCTGGGCTCAAGTACGACACAGCCATGGAGTGGAT